AGAGGAAAGGAAAGAGTAGGACGAAGACCATGACAAAGAGGAGGAGCACATTGGTTGGAAGACCGCGAGGAGGACGAAAAGTGTGAAGAGGAGGAAGAGGGGCCCAATTAATCGACAAACGGGCATGTGTCTGTGTGTGTGTTTGTGTGTGTCTGTGTGTGTGTGTGTGTGTGTGTGTGTGTGTGTGTGCGTTGTCATGTTCACTATAAACTCAATAAAAGCATGCCTCTGTGTTCGAGTGGTCAGTACTCCAAGACGTGCGAGGTACGATACACTATTACTCATTCCCGCACAGCTCCGACAAACCATGTCAGCCGATCTTGAATAAGAGACAAAGCAGGAGTGATGTTACCCGCAGAAAAAGGCAAACAAAAAACCTCATAAGCGTGGGACAGACGCATCCAGTAGTGGAAGATAGGGAATTCTAACCGGACTCTACGAGAAGCATCTACCGTTCAACTGCAGTGCACGGACTCAACGTGTGACAGATGCATCCAACAGTGGAAGGTAGGGGATGACTATGTCGATTGATGAGAGTAGCATCAATGCTTCAGTTTTCAGACAGACAATTGAAACCGTTTTCACCTTTGCAGAAGCAGATGCAGATCCCAGGGCTCGATCCCTAGGCCTCACCTCACCCGTGTACAGTATCCCTGTGTGTTTGAACCTGTGAACTGCGTTTTAGGAGTCAGTTGTTGTCTGTCATAGGTCGGTGTAGTTGTCGGGTCTTGAACCGTTGGTCTGTCGAGTAGGGGTCAAAGTTGTGTAGAGGTCGTAGCTATAGCAACTCTGAAAGGTCAAGGTCGTAGCTGCTATAGTCCTGAAAGGTCAAGGTCGTAGCTGCTACAGTTTCGAAAGGCCAAGTCCACAGGCTTCCGGAAGGTCTGGAAGTGGCCTTTCGAATGTTGCTCACAGCAGACCAGAGGCAAGTGGGCAAGTGGTGAGTCCACCCTTGCTTAGTCAGCGGTAGCCAGTCCCAGTCTCACTTAGTCCAGTCAGCAAGTACCATGTGGGACTATGTGCACCAAGGGCCCGGTGGAAAAGGGGCAGACCAGTGACCAACAGAAGTATAAATTAAGATGCAGCGCCCAGCCATTCATTCATTCTGCTGTGCGCCATGCGGAAGCGCTGCTCGAGCGTCTTGTGCAAGATGGTCTGCAGATGCCCGAGGACGAAGTGGGCCGTGAAGGAGACAGAGCGTCATAGTTAGTAGTAGCCGGCGGCCATAGCTGTCACAGCTAGCGTTAGGTGTTAGTGTTAGTGTGTGTGTGCGTGAGTAATACAGAGAGGGGCGTGGGATATTCAGGGTGATCCGGAGTTGTGTGTGTGCGAACGGGATGTGGATACAGTGTCGGACGTGAGAAGTGTAGGTGCTCAGGCGCCATAGTCAGTTTGCAGCGAGTTTGTGCCTGAACTGTGTTCTCAGTCTTTATATCTCTGAGCTTTGTGTGGGGGCCTGGCGCCACTTTGGATTTCCATCTGTTTGCATGCATGCGAAACAAAGAAGGAAGCAAGTCTGGTTGCATTGGTATCAGAGCTCGTTCCCGTTGTTTCACGCGCCATCGTCGTCTAAGCAGTGCGCCATAGCTGAGACACGCCATCGAGGAAGGAGAAGGGTCCACCATAGCCTTGCCGTTGGTGGAACGTGCCGCGTACCTGCAAAGAAGACGACGACGAAGAGAGAGAGAGAGAGAGAGAGAGAGAGAGAGAGAGAGAGAGAGAGAGAGAGAGAGAGAGAGAGAGAGAGAGAGAGAGAGNAGAGAGAGAGAGAGAGAGAGAGAGAGAGAGAGAGAGAGAGAGAGAGAGAGAGAGAGAGAGAGAGAGAGAGAGAGAGAGGAGCGATACAAGATTGTGGTGCAGTCCAAGGAAGAAGGTGGCGCCGAGCTCGGACACGGACGAAGAAGACAGAAGACGAGAGGAGGAGGCGGGAGAGACAAAGGAGGAGAGAGAAGCCATAGCCGAGGAAGAGGAAGGAGGGACAACGAAGGAGAAGGAAGCCATAGCCGGGGTGAAGGAGGAAAGAAGGAAGGAGGGAGAAGAAGAGAAGTGAAGATTGGTGGGAGAAGAAGGGTCGGCATCCATAGCTGAGCTGAGTGTTGACTGAGGCGTTGACCAAGGAGTTGACCAAGGAGTTGGCCGGTGTTGACCAAGGCGTTGACCGTGCAGTTGACCTGCGTTGACCCGCGTTGACCCGTGTTGACCAGCATTGACCAGCATTGACCAGCGTTGACCAGCGTTGACCAGCGTTGACCAGCGTTGACCAGCGTTGACCAGCGTTGACCAGCGTTGACCAGCGTTGACCAGCGTTGACCAGCGATGACCAGCGTTGATCGGAGCTGTTGACCACAAATTTGACCAAGTTGGAGTTGGTATACTCTCACCAAGCCTTCAGCCTATCCCCTCGCCCTATGGATGTGCACTCACCCTATGGTACTTGCTGAGTTTGTCTATCTCTTCTTTCTGCATTGAGTCTCTTTTGTCCAGGTGATAGGAACTCCGTGCATGAGGTCGTAGAGCTATGTTGACCTAACCCACACGGGCTGAGTAGGGCTAAAGGCCGTGTCTAGCGACTGATTGACCCGGAGGACAAACCCTCCCAAGGACCGGTACAGGCCGCCGGGCTGCTCACTGTGGCATGGTAGGCCCAAAATCCGAGCTGTGGGCTGCACAACCAACTGTCTAAGTGTTGAGAGGACTTGCTGATCGCGTTGTCCTGTTTGCGATGCTAAACAATTCCTGAGGAGTTATGGGGGATCTCCTTAAATGCCTCCTGATCAACGTTGAAGTCCTGCGGTGACAGCTTAGTAATAGGTCTAGGCTAGAGACCCTGCCGACAGGGTCCTGGACAACGTTAAATGCCGACAGGGTCCTGAACCGAAGTGAAAGCTAGGTGGGATTGACCGCAGGTGCAGGGCATTTGGGTCTAGATTGTAAAGAACAGTGGTGGCGAAAGCTTCCGCCGACCGTGGTAACCTGGCTGGATCGAAGGGTAAGGCTTTGTGGTCCTTAGTGTCAGTCAGGTGGGTAGGTCTAAGAGGTGAGGAGTGGGACGACTTTGTCGTGCACCTGACACCATCGACGACTACCCTATGTATGGCTTGCTCGTGGGGTTCTCCCTATGGGGGACCCTCTGGCGTCTCCTCTTTCCGCTAGGATTCTGAAACACCATGACGTGTAGAGTTGAGACGAGGGGTGATACTGAGACCACTCCTTACACGAAAGAACAGGAGGAGGAGGCTGCAAAGATTCTGGCCGAGCAGAAGGCCAGGAAGGAGGAGGAGGAGTTGGTAAAGCAGGCTAAGAAGTTGGCCTTATTGGAGGAGCAAGCCGCAAAGAAGAAGAAGCTGGAGGAAGAGTTGGAGAGATTAAAGAAGGAGGAGGAAGAGAAATTGAAAGCAGTGGAAGAAGAAGAGGAAGAGGAAAAGGTGGAAGAAGAAGTCCCTTTGATACGAAGGGCTAGAAGAGAGAGAGTGGAACCTAGCGGCACACAGAAGGAGGACCCATGGCTGGAAAAGAACGTATCTGAGTGGGTCGCAGACTTATCCCTGGGAGAGGAAGAGGAGGCGATGCTATATGTACTGAGGGAAGAACAAGAAGCAGTTGTGAAAGAATCGGAGTCAGAAGAAGACCCTCTGCGTCGCCAGACAATTGAAGACGAGAAGAAGTTGCAGTGGAAGTTGTGTCTGGCCAGGGACAAGAAGAAACAGTTGGAGGAGGCCAGTAAGGTGGCAAAAGAGTTGGAGGCAGTGAAGGAGCAGAGCGCACAAATGGAGGTGCATGCAGATGTTCTGGGGAAGATGGAAGTTATGGCAAGGAACATAGAACTTTTGGCGAGGGCTCAGGAAGAGCAATATCAATTTGCAAGAAGCCAGGATGTAACCTTGCGATCCATAGGATTGGGCTTTAGAGAGTTTGCCCGCAAGATGATGATGCACATGGACATAGAGGTGAAAGCCAGGATGGAGAGCATAGAGCGATTTTGTACAGACCCAATAGAGGGCACCGAGTTGGCAGCTCCTAGAGAAGAAGAGGCGCGTCCCCGTAGAGATCCGGTCAAAGTCAAGTTTCCTGATTCCTATAGAGGAAAAAGGAAGAGAATTTTGATAACTGGGAGGCGAATGTCAATTCGTACGTTCACCTGCAGAAGATCTTGCCTGAGGAGCAAGTACTAATTGCTTTCCATGCCCTCAAAGACGAAGCGTCCAACCTCGCCAGATCGCTTGCCCGTGCTTCCCAGTGTGATAATAATATGGTAGTGTATTCCAAAATCACCCCCTCGCTGAGTTTCCCCCTCGCTGAGTTTCTCAAGCTGCTCCGTGAAAGGTTTGTCGATGTCACGCGAGGCATTAGGGCCTCTGACAAGTTGCAAACAATCCACTCTCGCCAATGGAGGAGTGCTAGGGCACTCAAGGGCGTAATGGACGAGTTAGTCGTTGTGCCTGACCATGGGGTCATTGAGACCCAACTGGTCAACCTGTTCTATCATGCCATGCCTGAGCCGCTGCACGGGCACTTCTTCGAAAAGAGCAAGGAGCCGGCCATGAGCTACGATATGTTGAGTGGGGAAGTGGTAGCTTTCGAGGCGCAGTCCATGGCAGTTTCCACTTTCTGGCATAAGGACCTTGACAAGGGCAAAAAGTGGAAGGGTCGTACCATCTCTGGCCAAGTAAGGGCCAAGGATCACTTGATCCTTACTTTAGATGAAGGTGGTATGGAAGAGGTCCCCTATAATCAGATTGAGTGGGGCCTCGAGGAGGAGGACAATTGTGTGAGTTAGGGGAGGACATATGCTACTGTCGCGGCTGGAGGGAGGCCGCAAGGAAGAGGAGGCCAGGGCCAAGGAGGTTGGGCCTCTGGTGGTCGTGGACATGGTGATCTGGGGGTCGGCGACAGAGGAAACCTCCAAGAGGGAGGTAGGGGTCAAGATCCCCCGCAAAAACGCTCTCGTTTCACTCGGTCACCTCCCAGGAGGGGTGGATGGCACCTTAGACCATGTGGAGAAGAGTGCGCGCACCACAGAGAAACTCCCACGTGTCTATGGCAGAGGTTGCTGGCCAGTGCCTAAATAGTTGTCCAGAGACTGCTTGTGTTAGAGTCTCTCTAGGCACTTCCCTCATAGGCTTGGCAGAGGAGTTAAGGAGAGGATGTAGGCCTGGGCCAAAATGAAAAATGATGGAAAAGGACAACTAGTTTTAGTAGATGTAGAAGTTTTTAGGAGCAGAGTAGGGGCCCTTATAGACAGTGGGGCCACTCGCAGCTATATTAGAAGAAAAGCGCTGCAGAAGTTAAAGCTAAATCTAAAGGTCCAGGAGTTAGAAGACCCTATAAGTCAACATCCTCGCAGATAATCGCACTATGTGAGTCGAGGATTACGTAGAGGGAGTCCAGGCGTACTTTCGCCTAGAGAAGGATGGGAAGGTAGAGAAAGTTTTCCATTCCCTGACTCTCCTCGTAGAAGATATCCTTCCTTGACTCTCCTCGTAGAAGATAGCCTTCCGTTTGACATGGTCCTAGGAATGGACTGGGGAGAGGCAGCAGGGGCCACAATCCATTTGAGAGAGCATAAGTGTAGGCTCCCTGGTTCGTCAAGTGAAGTTAAGACCGCTCACCTGTTCCATGTGTCAGGAGTAGATGATCCCCTGGCACATTGTTGTCTCAGTGCTTCCGCGTTCGCGCGAGTGAGAAAGGAGCAATTAGAAGAACAGGTTTTTGTAGCCTATGTAAGGCCTGTCACTGAGCCTCAGGAAGAGGAACCCACTAACCCAGTTATTGCCAAGCTGCTGGAAGAGTATGCCGATTTATTTGAGCCGCCTACAGGAGTAGTGCAGCGACCGATACGGCATCGTATTGAGATAGAGCCTAGCAGTAGAAACCCTAAGGGGGTCGTGTATAGAATGTCCCCAAGGGAGTCAAAGGAGTTGCGCAAGCAGTTAGACGAGCTCCTCGAGAAGGGTTGGATTAGGCTGGGTTCATCTACATTTGGAGCACCTGTTCTTTTTGTCCCCAAGAAGGAGGGAGAGCTTAGAATGTGCATTAACTATAGGGGTTTTAATGTCGTCACAGTAAGGAATGCAGAACCACTGCCCCATATAGATGATCTATTAGATCAGGTGCAGGGCTGCACGTACTTCTCTAAGATGGACTTGAAGTCAGGCTATCATTAGATAGAGGTACATCCTGATGATCAGTAGAAGACGACATTGAGGACCAGATATGGGCACTACGAGTTTATAGTGATGCCCTTTGGATTAACCAACCCGCCAGCCACATTCCAACGTTGTATGAATGATCTGTTCAGGCCGTGGTTAGATAGATTTGTGGTTGTGTACTCAGACGATATTCTATTGTTTAGTAAGACCCTCCAGGAGCATGAGGGCCATCAGAGGCAGGTCTTGGAGAAGTTGAGGGAAGCTAACTTCAAGATCAACGCAGAGAAGTGCGAGTGGGCCAAGACACAACTTTTGTACTTGGGCCACGTCTTAGATGGAGATGGCATAAAACCTGAGGACAGTAAGATAGCGGCGATTAGAGATTGGCCGACTCCCCGCACATTGACAGAGTTGCGGTCATTCCTAGGGTTGGCAAACTATTATAGGAAGTTCGTGAGGAACTTCTCTACCATCGCTGCACCCCTTCGAAGGTTGCTAAAGAAAGAAGCAATCTGGGAGTGGGATAGAGACTGTACGTCGGCCCTGAAGAAGCTAAAGCGGGCCTTGATAGAGTATCCAGTCCTCAAGGTAGCCGATCCATCCTTGCCTTTTGTTGTCACTACTGACGCATGTCAGTACGGTATAGGTGTTGTTCTACAACAAGATGATGGCAATGGGTATAGACCCGTAGAGTTCACGTCTGCGAGGATGCCTTCAGAGAAGGTAGCAACATCAACCTATGAGAGGGAACTCTACCCTCTCAGGCAAGCACTAGATCACTCGAAACACTACTTGCTTGGGAGGCACTTCAAATTGTATTCAGACCACGAGACGCTGAGGTGGTTAAAGACGCAGGCCAAGATGACACCTAAGCTTACTAGGTGGGCCGCAGAGATAGACCAGTTCGATTTTGAGCTCAAGCCAGTCAAAGGAAAGTACAATGTGGTTGCGGATGCTCTAAGTAGGAGAGCTGGTTACTTCGGAGCGATAGTTCACTATCTGGATATAGGGAGAGACCTGCAACAAAAAGTCAAGGAAGCGTATGCGCAGGACCCTATTTATAGTGATCTCCTCAAGAGAGTTGAGGAGTTTCCAGAGTCTGAGCGAGACTACCGCACTACAGATGGGTTACTATTCGAGAAGACTAATGTAGCTGACCGTTTATGTGTTCCCAACAGCGAAGAGATCCGTAGTCTGATCTTAGGGGAATGTCACGACACAGAAGGATATTTTGGTTGGCAGAAGACATTAGCCAACCTTATTCGCGCTTATACGTGGCCAGGTATGAAAGCTGACTGCATAGAGTATGTACACAGTTGTAAGGTATGCCAGCGAAATAAGACCACTACGCGAGCCCCTCTTGGTCTTCTCAGACCCTTGCCTATTCCCGCAGGACCCGAAGATTCTGTCTCCATTGACTTCATGAATGCTGGGGTCCGAAGTAGGCATGGCAACAGCCAAGTCATGGTTATAAGTTCTTTGATCCTTTGCCCGCTGAGGCACGTACAGACTTAGTTATAAGTTCCTTTGCCCGCTGAGGCACGTACAGACTTAGTTATAAGTTCTTTGATCATTGGGTCAGTGAGCATGGTCTACCGCTGTCGATAGTTAGTGACAGAGATACCGGGTTCACTAGTTAGAACTGGCAGGAACTGATAAGAGTTTATGGCTCTTAAGTTGTTGATGTCATCTGGCCGTCATCGTGAGACTAACGGTCAGACTGAACAGATTAACAAAATCTTTCAGCAAGTTCTCATAATGTATATTAGACCCGATCAAGTTAATTGGGATGAGATGCTTCCCAAGGTAGCCAGCGCATACAACAATAGCGTGCACTTAGCGACCTGACGCACTCCCAATGAGTCGCATAAGTCATTTAGACCACGTAGACCGTTTGAAGGACTAAACCGGCATCAGATTCAGAGGCTACCGCCTGGTACTAGGGAGTTTGCACTACAGCATGAGAGAGAGATTGCTACCGTAACAGAAAACCTCAGGAAGGCCCAGCACAAGATGATAGAACAAGCCAACAAGCACCGTCGCCCATCACAGTTTCAAGTAGGCGACTTAGTCTGGGTCAAGTCAAAAGAGTTTGCTCCTGAGGAGATCATCTCGCAGAAGCTATTGCCTGCATATAGAGGACCGTGGCTAGTCCTAGAAGTCAAGGGCAGAGTTGAGATCCCAGCACACCTCCATACATATCCAGTTTTTCATGCATCAAAGTTATTACCTTGCACGACAAGTCAGCAGTTTCTGTCGAGAAGGTCGATGATTCCTCCAGATATGGACGGAAGGTACGACATTGAGCATATAGTTGACGAGTATGTGTTCAGAACAGGAGGTAGAGGTCGCCCACAGAAACAATACAAAGTTAGATTCTCGTTTCAGGAACCCGAAGACGACTACTGGTTCACACGAACAGAACTTCTAGAGACCGCTCCCGACATAGTTCGAGCCTATGAGAGAGATAGGAAAGGTAAAGGTCCTGCCTTGGACTGAAGTATTCTCGGAGGACCTCAAATTTAGGCCGGCGGGAGTGAAACGGTTTTCACCTTTGCAGAAGCAGATGCAGATCCCAGGGCTCGATCCCTAGGCTTCACCTCACCCGTGTACAATATCCCTGTGCGTTTGAACCCGTGACCTGCGTTTTAGGAGTCAGATGTTGTCTGTCATAGGTCGGTGTAGTTCTCAGGTCTTGAACCGTAGGTCTGTCGAGTAGGGTCAAAGTTGTGTAGAGGTCGTAGCTATAGCAACTCTGAAAGGTCAAGGTCGTAGCTGCTACAGTTCTGAAGGGTCAAGATCGTAGCTGCTACAGTTTTGAAAGGCCAAGTCCGCAGGCTTCCGGAAGGTCTGGAAGTGGCCTTTTGAACGTTGCTCACAGCAGACGAGAGGCAAGTGGGCAAGTGGTGAGTCCACCCTTGCTTAGTCAGCTGTACCCAGTCCAGTCTCACTTAGTCCAGTCAGCAAGTACCATGTGGGACTGTGTGCACCAAGGGCCCGGTGGAAAAGGGGCAGACCAGTGACCAACAGAAGTATAAATCAAGAGGCAGCATCCAACCATTCATTTGTTCTGCTGTGCGCCATGCGGAAGCGCTGCCTGAGCGTCTTGTGAGAGATGGTCTGCAGATGCCCGAGGACGAAGTGGGCCGTGAAGGAGACAGAGCGTCATAGTTAGTAGCAGCCGGCGGCCATAGCTGCCACAGCTAGCGTTAGATGTTAGTGTGTGCGTGTGTGTGTCCGTGATACAGAGAGGCGCGTGGGATATTCAGGGTGATCCGGAGTTGTGTGTGTGCGAACGGGATGTGGATACAGTGTCGGACGTGAGAAGTGTAGCTCAGGCGCAATAGTCAGTTTGCAGCGAGTTTGTATCTGAATTGTGTTCTCGGTCTTTATATCTCTGAGCTTTGTGTGGGCGCCTGCCGCCACTTTGGATTTCCATCTGTTTGCATGCATGCGAAACGAAGAAGGAAGCGAGTCTCATTGCACAAGAACCCACTGAAGAATATTGTCGCAATTGCGACAGGACCATATAGCTTTGAGGAGGTCAGAGTGATCACGAGCGAGACGCCTTTTTGCGAAATACGTTTTACACATGGTCATCTCGGCCTGCATGGCCGCTGCCTCACGAGAGCGGAGACACTGCAGGAGTTGCAGGATAGGGAGGTGAGGAGTGCACTGGATCCGATTTTGCAATCCAATCCGGAGGTGGAATGGTTGGCATGGCATGAATTGGAAATATGGATGGATGAGGCGCTGATGGAGGAGGCGGCGGTGGACGCGGCTAACGCGCAGGCAGCAGGACTGAGCCATAGGAGGAAACCTCGGTGGGGAGGAAGACATCGGCGAAACATGGCATGGGAAGGGAGGGAAAATGACCCCATGCAGACGGATGAACCACACTGGTTGCTCGGCAACGATCGTAAGAGAAAAACAGACCAAGCATCACAGGAGGAAAGAGAACCCAAAACAGGGGAAGTGGATCATCGAAATGGGAGAGACAAAGACGAGAAAGAGGGAAGGAGGGAGACGGGTAAAGGGGCGGAGGAAGGACTGAAGGATCAGAGTAGTAGTTGGTGGGGGAAACAGACGGGGGAGGATACCAGTGAGGGAAAGGGGACCGGGGGGGGGAGAAACGGAGATTGTCCAATGGGAGGAGGGAGGAGGAGTGGAGCTGGGGAGCAGTCTGGCTGCACAAGCCCAGAACACCAATAAGGAAGAAGACGGCGGGGAGGATCAGCTGGATAAGAGAGAGCATGTCGCGACGGAAGGCGAGAGGCAAATAAGGAATAAGGAAGAGGAGGGGAGAGTAGGGGATGGGATCCAGAGGATACAGCTGGATGGCAAGGACCTGGAAAAGGGAGCATTGAGTATGCAAGAGAAGGGGGAAGAGAGGGAGGACAAGCAAGAGCCTAACTCGGGGGAGTCAGGCACGAACCAAGCCCGGGCCAGACCCTTGTATGACCCTCCGGTAGTGACAGAACGGGATAGGCCAAGAAGATCGTTGTCAGGACATCAAAGGAGATTGAGGAGAGTGAGAGCAGGACTGCCTAAAAGCTCATCGTGTGCAGAATGCTTCCGGTCCCAACCTGCTCCCCCCTACAGAATGAGCGGGAACGAGAACGTTCCCCGACGGGAGGGATGGGGCAGGAGTAGAATTGCTCACTGCGAGGACGAGGCCGCTGAGAAGTTTCGCCATCACCCTCACTCTCCCCCATCCCGAGGGATGCGAGTTACGGGATGCCGCTGGAGGGGATAGTGAGTACTGAAGAGGAGAATGGAACTTCAAGTACTTCGGGATCGGAGGTGTCCGAATCGGACACATTGGAGACAGGCCAATCGGACCAACAACAGATGGAGGAGCAAGAGGAGAGGGTGGAAGAGGAGGAATCACGAGAAGTAGATATGGGAGGGGAGGAGCAAATGGAGGACTCAACACAAGCAGAGGAGCTGCAGGAAGCTGCCCTAGAGGATGAGTCGGTACAAGCTCAACCGGAAAAGGATGATGAGCAACGGCAGGAGCCATTGACGAATCTGGCATGACAACAGCGGACAGAGACCGGACTGGTAGCCATTCGGAAGGAGGGAGAATGTTATGTATGCCCCATTACTCTGTGGAGGATGCTGCGAGAAGTCAGAGTGCTGATGGATGGCACCACGGAAGTACCGTGTTCAGTATCAACAAACTTCCAAGAGAGCAGAAGGTCCTTGAACAAGTACGACGCTGGACGGGGCTTAAATACGAAGTCATGGCGCTGCCCGGCATTTCGGCAGAACGATTCATCTGTCGGACACAGGAGGGAAAAAAATATGCAGCGATACTGTACTTCGTTGAGGCTATTCCCAAAAATCGGGCCGCCTGAGATTGAACATGGGAAGCCCGCAGTGGATGCCGTTTGCAGCAGTGTTTGGCCCCACGGCGCTTCCGCAGGACTCCCACATTATTCACTCGACCTCCCTCACCATTCTGAATAGTGTAAACGCAGGACTTCTGCAGCACGACCAGGTGGGAGGAAAGCAGTTCTTGACTGGCGAAGGGATATGGAAAAGGGGGGAGTGTAAGGAGTAAGGATATGTTATCCCGCAGGGTGTCATAGGAAAGGTGACACCCCCCCAGCATTAAATGTAAGAAGAACCTATTCGAGATAGAATAGGGAGAGCCTATTCGAGATAGAATAGGGATTTGATATAGAAGATAGATGAATGGAAGGGTGATATGAGAGGAAGTAGACGAGGGAATCGGTTGTGAGTCATGACATGGAGCATCAGAGGTATGGGGGCAAGATTGCTGCTCCCCAAACGAAGGGAATTTGTGGCAAAGGTTAAACAGGAGCAGGTTGATGTGGTCTGCCTGCAGGAGACCAAGTTGAATGAAGGGAGGACTGCAGATCCAGTGTTGTGGTGGAAGGGTCATCAGGTGTGGGCACCAGCCCAGGGAGGAAGAAACATGGGGAATGGTCACTGTGTACAGCCCCTCGGACACGGGAATGCGGAGGAGAATGTGGGAGAGATTGCAGACCCTGGTACCAGAAGGGGTCAAGCTCATCATTGTCTGGGACTTCAACTTGGTTTCTGATCCGGTTTTAGACTCAGCCACAGCAAGACATGTGGAGGCCAACTCACTGGCACTCGCAAATAGTATGACGGGTCTGGGATGCACAGATTCGTACCGGACACTGTATCCACAAGGGAAAGTGTATACCTTTTGGGGGGTAACACAGCATCTTGAGGAAGCAGGATCGATATGATATGGGCATCGGCGGCCTTGAATGAAGAAGTGGAGCAAGTCCACATGAGTCCTATGGTGACGTCAGACCACGTCGAAGTGATTGCGAGCTATCCGCTTGGAACGCTGGAAACCGGACACCCTCCGAGGGCAGTGCCTGCGTGGGTGTTCAAAAGTGCGGAACATCGGCCAATGATCGCTCAACTCTGGCAGCAATGGACAAACGATTGCCCACAAGATAACATTCTGGACCATGTCGTCACAGCAATCCAGGACCTGCAGGGAAGCCTGAGCAAACAACTGCACAACAACTACTTGAACGCCGGACCTATTGTAGGACAAAGTGAAGATGAATGGTGGGCAGAGAGGGTGGAGGCGGTGAGGGGGTGGAAGGAATTGCAAAAGGAAGAGGCAGTGAAATGGGGGCGACACACAAAGAATTGTGGATAGTGATAGGCGAGCGGATGTCGCAGAGTTTTTTCGTCACTGTGACTATGCGAAAGATGGCCCCGCTGATGACGGTGATGGACCACCCTTTGGATGAGCATCAGAGCCAACAGCGTACCACACGGGGGATTTTGAAGTATGTGGTAGATTTCTACTCTCAGCTGGGGACAGAAGAAGAGCAATGGACCTCAGAGGCTATGGCCAAAGCACCGGAGCAGGAAGTATGGAGGCATTTCCGGAACTGCTTAGACCTGGAGAGTAAATGTAAATTGGAAGAAGACATTGAGCCGGAGGAGGTGGAGAGAGCAATAGCAGAGCTCCCCCGACTGAAGGCGCCATGGATGGACGGCATGCCGGTGGAATTTTTTAAGGATTTCGGATTTTTTTCGTCATCCTGCTGACAGTGGCGTACAATGAAGCGCTCAAATCTGGCGTCCTCCTGCGAGGTTTTCCAGACGCGTTCAGGAGCGAAGGAGGATGTTCGTAACTGGCGCCCAATCTCTATTCTCAATGCGCTGTATAAAATCCTGGCAAAAGTCCTGGCAACCCGACTAAAGGAAGTACTACCACAAATTATTGACACTACACAGACTGGATTTGTGGCGGGGCGACAGATCCTTTCAACAGTAACCCTGGCACAACAGATTCTTGAGGAGGTTAAATGCACAGGCCATGCGCAAGCTTTTGTATCCATCGACCTCAAGAAAGCGTATGACCGTGTCCGGTGGGAGTTCTTGCTACAAGGAATGGCACGCAGAGGGATTGGAGGCATCTACCGAGGCTGGGTCAGAACCCTGCTGACAGGAGCATCAACTGTAATGCAAGTCAACGGTGTCAGATCCGACAAAATTATGATCACCAGATCGGTGCGGCAAGGGTGTCTGCTATCTCGTGCCCTCTATGTCATCTACATTGAATCAATGCATGACATTTTGAGGGCGGATGATCGACTAGTCAGCATGAAGGCTGGCCCAGCGGAGCTGCAGTCCATGGCGTTTGCGGATGACTCAGGGGCAGTAATCCCCCCAACGACCCAGCAATTGAGTATCCTGAAAAAGGACTTGCAGACTTTTTGCAAGTACTCAGGGGCACGGGTCAATTGGTGCAAATCGAAGGCCATCCTCCCGCCAGGGATAGCCCTGCCGGAGAGCTGGGACATTCTGACAGCTGGGGACGGAGAGAGAATGAGGTTTCTAGGAGCTAGCATAGTGTCGAGCTATGGAGGGGGCAAACAAATGGCGATAAGAGCTACGGGGGCGCAGGCCCGACTTAAAACATGGAGTAAGAGGGGGAGTATGGGAGTTTTTGGTAAAGCCATCGTTATTGAAAACTCGGTGCTTGCTACTCTATGGTATGCAGGTGTTGTCCATATGCTGGCCAAGTGTACCTTTTGATATGTTAGGAGAGTGATCCACGCACACTTATGGTCAAATAACGTGGATGCAGATGACTCCATATGCAGGGTGACTGGAACAAGCTCATTCAGCCGAGGCGCTTTGGGGGCCTGGGTTTGCTGGACCTGCGCCTACAGATCATCACGCTACAACTAAGACAGCTCCTTTGGTACTTGCTCGGGACAGTGGAAGGGGCCTGGCAGCAAGTCACCCGGATCCACCTGGCATATGCACTTCAAGTGCCTGCGGGTAAGGTGGACCTGTGCCTACTGGACGATACGGCAATAGGCCACTCCGGAGAGAGACGGTGTGGTCAACAAAAATGGCGCTGCGTAAGAAGGTGCATATGCATTGCCGCCTGCTGCCAACTGCAGATGCACCCTACAATCAGCTGCTGTTCGGCAACAGGTTCATCTGCGATGCTGCCGACAATCCCTTGCCTTGTCAGAGCCCACGAGGAGCGTACGGTTGGAAGTGGGCCGAGCAAGGGATCTATAAGGTGGGGCATCTATGGGATGAGGACCGTAAGGAATGGAAACGTGACAGTGAGTTGATGGACTCCCTACATGGCTGTATGAAGAGACAGCGGAGGGTGGAGGAACTTAGGGAGGCCATCCCCCCCGAAGGATAGACATGCTGAGAAAGAGTAACATTACGCAGGGAGAATGGGTGAAAATGAAGGATGAAAAGAGGACGTAGAGGGTATACAAGGTGGAGCAGATTCTGGAAGAAGGGAGGTTGCAGGCCACAAGCTGGCAGGTGAACACTGGATACAAGAGATTGGGGGACCCGTTGCTGGAGGTTGATGCAGAGGGACTCCCATTGATGAATTGGAAGACCGAGTTTGGCAGTCGTGCAGAGCAACTGCATTGTATTATAGTTGGAAGAGCTAGGAAGCAAGGAAGGAAGGGGTAGAAGTAGTATAGTATTATAATAAGGTAGGGTAGGGGATAGTATGCGGGAGATAGAGGTAGGTAGGAGGGGTTACAGGGGGGAAGAGGTGATAAGTGGGGGACTAAATCATAACATGACGAAAAAACTTCAAAAAAGTATGTAAATGCGAATGCTGGGGCAAGGTGAGCGTTAGTAGTTATGGACAGCAGTACAGTACAGGGTGGCAACAAAGGCTCAACGAGGTTATGGGGTTCAGAGAATAACGGAGCGAGATCATGAGGGGTAGAATTAACAAGGTGAAGAAGGATGTGAGGAGGGATGAAATTAGTTAGCCACTAGGTACAGTGAGTAGGAAAACGATGTTATGGGTGTAACTGGCAGAACTGGATACGAAGGTTGTACGAGAATCAGGGGTGGAAATAGTCTGAACTGGGATAGGCGGGACAGGCAAGGTTATGGGCATAGTTGAATGGTGATACGGGATGGATGAGTTACTGTATGAGGGTAGTAACAGGATAAAGACAGCTGGTATGCGGACTGAGGAACTGTTAAGGAACCCCCCCCTGTGTCCTGCCCTCCTGGAGGTTACCCTGCTGTGTGACTGGGTGCTGCTAGCAAGCCTCCCGACCAGCAGGGCACCCCCCTAAGGAAGGCCACGGACTGGGGAAGGGAAGTCCTGTAACAGTCCCCCCTTGCTAGGCGGCTAGTGCCACAAGGGATGGCCTGATCCTCTTTCTTGTCTTTTCTCCCCCTTATCTCTTGGATGTAAAAACATGCTTGCCGGTAATAAGCAACTGGACTGTTGCCCCCCAGAATAGAAGGGACATGGTTAATCAAAAAAAAAAAAAAAAAAAAAAAAAAAAGATTGTTTGTCGGAGTTGCACCGACTCATCAGGACGCTGAACCCTCGACAATCTGTGAAATCCCCATATTGATGGTTTGGGTCATGAACCCTTTGGCCCTTGTCGAAGGCAGACTGGCCCCCCAACGGAAACACAAGCAAGGCAGCCAAAAGGAACAGCACACAAGCGAAGGACACAGAAGGAATGCACGCGGATGTGCAGCAAAGCAGCAGCGCAGGGAAGCACAAGGCAACACAAACACTGCAGCCACACCACCCAGAGAACACAACAGCTTACAAAGAACCATATGCAAAGCAAGCAGGACGGGGAGCAAGGCAACGGCGGAGCGCAGAGGAGGCAGCCCACACATCCAATGCAAGCAAGCGGCACAGAACCTGCTCACATCTCACTTGGACCCTGCAGACCGTTGGTTCCCACCACCTGTTGAGCCAGGGAGGTATTCCGACGGACATCTATCATCACCCATGGAAGACACAGACGTCCTAAATTGAGCGGCCTCCCCTAAGAGTGCTGTAGGCACTCCAAACCAGGAATGACCGACTGTTTGGCACTGCTTAAGGGTGCTCACTCAGACAGGCAAAAGCACTTGGAAAAAATGAAAGGAAGAAAGAAAGACACAAAGAACGGAGAGAAAGACATACACAAACTGATTGAGTGTGTGTGTGTGTGTGTGTGTGTGTGTGTGTGTGTGTGTGTGTGTGTGTGTG